AGTTTTACTTTTAAACTGTAAGTGTATTTAATTTAGTTATGTTAGTTATGATAGTTTAGTTATGATGTAAATACTATAAAAATTAAACCAAGATTTAGAATAATTATCATTTTGATCCATACCTTAGTAAGGTCTGACTGGGCCTCGTGTCACTTTATGTTCAACAAATTGGGCCYKGAGGTCAAAAAGGTTAAGAACSCCTGGTCTAGGACACACAATGTTTAAAAGATAACAGAGCATGAAGACCCCAACAATTAGTCTGCTGATTGGGAACATCATGGTTTTGAAAAGAAAGCGTGTTCATTTGCTCCGTTTCTTGTTAAAAACCAGAAATAAATACCTAATAGACTCAAATGTAAGAAGTTCATACAACACCAGCTARCTGGACCAAAAACAGACRTTTAGTTGTGCTTTTTGGCRTTGATTCAGGAAATACAATCTTGTTTTAAACACCATCTTCAGAATCTGACCACGCCCACTTTGAAACATTACACCGGTAAAGTCTCCCGAACACATGACCAGATTCTTGCACACTTCCTGTCAGCTGATGACACAACATGTGTGGTCAGTGTARTCAGGTAAATAAATGTACCAAGGAGGGCACACTGAGTCACAATAGTTACCCTTAAGAATCATTTGTAAACAGAATAAACTTCCTTCAGTTTCTTCAGGCCTTAGCTTCCCAACTGCTGAAATCGACTCATTGTTGTGGTTTTATGATGAAACATTTTGTTCAAAGCTTCAACCCCTTCTTGTCTCAGGAGCTAAGAAAGGTTTGTGCAAAAACAAGTGGATGCCTTTAGTCTGCTTCAGTGATGGTGTATTAAATGAGAGATTAGCTCCCTGTCTAGCTTTATTACTCACTTTAAACAACATCAAAATGTAAACATCTTTCCTCCCATCTCATCTTTCCGATGTTTACAAATGTAAACATCTTGTAAAAGTCTTAGTTTTTATACTAATACAAGTTAGATCCTAATGTGCTTCAGGAGAAATCTAAAAGGATGTGTGCTACAGAGCTACTTCCATTTYCTCTTTGCAGTTGAATGTACTGATGTATAAAAATGCTCTCTTCATTGTAGTAATTTTGTCATTAAACATATATATTTTTAAAGATTCCTCTGTAGGACGACTCCTAGTGTTTCTGCGGTGTCCTGAGACCTGACAGAAACAACTCCCTTATGAAACGAAGGCGTCGAGACAATCCCAGAGCACATCCGTCCACACGAAGACATCTGTACTCCAGTAAATCTCTCCGACAAAGCCTTAATCTCAACAGGCGACTGTTTGTAGGAGGATTGTAAGCAAGAAATCTGTTAGTGAGATGATTCTTTGTTGTTGTTTGGTTTCGTGTGTGTGCTCTTTCACCCCTCGTCCAGATAATGGTGGTGGGCCACAAAGACATTCAGCTGTAGGTACTGAGCGAGCCTGAACACGAGGGAACATACGGACGGCTAGATTGAAGCAGCGATAGCAGACAGAACATTATTCTGCAGCGCACACACACACACACACGCATGTGAGTAATAATGAAATCGGTGTCGACAGCGGGGTCCGTTCTCCATGACAGAGTCGCACAGTTCTTCCATTCTGCCTGGCGTGCAGCATATGGGCCGGCACGTTTGGCTGACAGGTGCAAATGTGTTACACGCTCGCTGTGTGTGACCTTTAACCTGCGTTTTCCCTGTCGTGTGTGTGTGTGTGTGTGTGTGTGTGTGTGAGCGGTCAGCAGTAACACGTGTTAATGTACATGAAAACCTGTGGTGGGCAGCTGTTCCGCCCAGATATCAGCATGTGTGTTTTTAATTCTGAACATTCAGGAGGCGAGGAGCTCCATGCTGGAGACTCATGTTTCAGACGAGTGGATTTTAAGAAATGTAAATAATCCACGAAACACATCAATCACAACCTCGTCTGCTTAATCTGTGTGAGCGAGAGGGCGGCAGGTGGAAGAGGCGCTGTCCAGGACAGGGGTCTGCAACCTGCGGCTCTCTATGAAAATTTCATCAAACATAACAGATTTTTTTGTTTGTTTTTATACTCACGACACTAATACATTGTATGCAAATATGTGATCAATACTACTAAAGCAAAAATACTAATACAAAAAGTAAAATATGTTACCTCATTCAAACATATTTTCTACTTAAATAATCCAACTTCTTTCTATGATCTTTCTCTCAAATCCATCAGGGTTATTTTTAAACACCTTTTACATAATAAGAATTAAAATAAATGTCTGAATAGTTCAGCTGTACTAGTTTTTATGAAATTCTTTATAAACTATAACCGGTATTTTTCTTGTGCATGAATGTTTTTTTTCTTCAGTCATGAAGTGTAAAAATAATAATAAAAATAAAATTCACAATATATTTTTTAGGTTTATGTCACCTCCACTGGCCATRAAGGTTCATGAAAAGGCCCACAGACCACCAGTTGATAATCATAGTTGTAGCTTATTTTGTGGCTCTGGACATGTTTAATCAGTGAGCCGAGGAACAGAAATGGTTCTTTTGACTGTAAAAGTTGCAGACCCCTGGTCTAGGAGAACGAGGAGTGCGGTGAAGAAAAGATCCAGGAGCGTTTTGTGAAAAAATGATGCCAACAAAAGTCAAACTTTACAAGAGAGCAGCTCTGACTGTTGTACAGTTTGAAGACTGAACAGGACGTGTCAGAGCTGAAAATGTTCATGTTAGGCCTGATTTAATAAATACTGCACGATAAACCATCTCAGAAATTATCATCTTAAATGATGATATTGTTTGGAGACCAAGTATTATGATAACCCTTCATTTACAGAGGTTTGAGGATGTTTATGAAATTTATGTACGTTTAAAAAAAGATACAAACTGACCTGGATTGGAGATCGTGAAAATAAGTTACTGAAGCTGTAAAATTGCTTCTTCCTTTCATAAAATAACTGCAATTACCCTCAAGTTTACAAAATTTACAGAAGATTATGTRAAGTCACGGATGGACTGGGACCTGAGTTTGTGAAAACTGTAAAATTGCTTCACAACTCCTCTAAGAAGGCACAATTTATTMTTTTTCATCCTCTGGCTTCATTAAATAATTGGTCACCCTCAAGTTTACAAACTTTACAGAAGTTTACGTAAAGTTACGGATGGACTGGGTCCAGTTTGTGTAAAATAACATTGTTAACCACCCATCGAAGCAGTGCAATTTATTCTGTATGTGTCTTACTCTGGCTTGATAAAATAAGTGTGGTCACCTACAAGTTTACGAACTTTACAGAAGTTTACGTAAAGTTACGGATGGACTGGGTCCAGAGTTTGTGTAAAATAACATTGTTAACCACCCATCGAAGCAGTGCAATTTATTCTGTATGTGTCTTACTCTGGCTTGATAAAATAAGTGTGGTCACCTACAAGTTTACGAACTTTACGTAGCGTAAAATAAAAACAACTCTCAGCAAACCCAAGGCAGAATTGAAGACGCTCCTCTGGCTAAGTGCCTGTTCACTGGGCTCTCATACTACAGAGCTTAAAGACCATGCACCTGGAAAACACCTGAAACCAGAGTTCACTCCACCCTAAAAATGATCAGTTAAAATGATCRACCTGATTTAAATTTATCCTGCGATTATTGATTTATTGCTTATCACAGCAGGCCTAGCACCAGGTGAAWAAAGTCAGAGAGCAGACTGAGATGGTTTGTTTGTCTCAGACTGGTCTGCGCAGCCTCACCTGCAGCTGTAGGGGTCCCAGGCCGGGCGTGGCAGCTGCAGCAGCAGCCATCGTTGTGGGGATGAGCTGGAGAGGGTAGGGGTCGCCTGAAACCAACAGAAAACATCCACTTTAACACGTTTCATGCTAAAAACAAAACCTAAAACAGTCATTCCTTTACGTGCCTTTCATCTCTCCCCTCTTCTCCCCACCGCCCATTTATTCCTCTCCCTCTCCATCGTCCTACCTTCATCCCTCGCTCCTCCTCGGACCACCTGAGTCTCTTTCTGCAGCTGTTAAAGCCGTCCTTTGTGTACTCTGCCGGTGGGGCCCTAATGAAAAGCCTGATTGTGTGTCCTCCTCCTTAATACCCCCTGACAAAGTGCAGCGAGGTGAGGGGATTGTGATAAAGCCGGCCCCGGCGCTGTAATTAAGAGCCGCCACTGCCGATTGCTGCTCTCCTGTTCCCGCTCTGTTTTTTTTCTTTCTTTTTAAACCTCAGATGTCTGTCAGAAGAGAGCATCACTGCAGGCTCTCGTTCAGTTTTTGTTGTCATCTTTTTTACTCCTTTTAACTTCAACTAAATCCTTTCTGTGGTCTCATGTCTACATCCCTTCCACCCTGCCAGGAAAAATAAATCAAGATGGATGGATGGGTGAGGGAGAAAACACAGGTTCACGTAAAAAAAGAAAAAAAGATGAGTTTAGCTTATTGGTTGGTGCAGATAGGCTGGGCTGTCATTAGAAGGGGAACAAAGAGGTCAGAGATGAAGGCAGGGAGATGAACTGAGAGGAGATTCTGTTTAATTATAGTTTCATTGTACAAACACTGATTTAAAATGTAAATAAAAACAGAATGCAATGATTTTCAAAACTTAAAGCCAGATTTTATTCCAAATAGAACGTAGTAAACCTATAAAAAAATGAAAGCATCCCCTTAAACATCTAGAAACCTGTAGACTTTTCTTAACTGATGGAGCCTTTTTAAGACGTTTAACATATTAGAGGCACTAATGAACCCCTATACTATCAGAGAGGCAGGCTTTTAAACTGCACTGATAACAGGCGATATTATGAATTACAGATGATGGGATTATTCAAAGTTTTCCAGATTTTCAACATTACTCTAGTTTTTTTCATCAGACTGGTGAAACTCCGCCCACATTTATTCTAGGACAGTTTTCCCATTAAAATTGTACAAAAAAGGGCAGTTGGAAAAATGTTATTTTTATTTTCTTGTTGTCTGCAGATATAAAAAGACGTGGACGTTCACTTGCTCACAAATCCATCTTGCTCATTTAACAATCATCTGCTCTGAGAGCGCAGCAGGTCATTTACTGCAGCATGTGGAAGCTCACGTGTACGGCAGGCTGTTTTTACATTTAATCAGCTTCACCACAATTACAATCCAGGTATTTGAAACTGGTTTAAGACTAGATATATTAGTTCTTTCAGTTATTTAGTGACAGATAAATAAAATTCAACTAAAGCAAACACTCTTTTATAATAAATACTACGAATGTTTCTGCTATCCATAATAAATCCCTCCCTTCAGCCATTTTCCTCGGGGAACGTTCAACTTTTCTCAACCTTTGTGAGATGTGTTGCTGCCATAAAATTCACAAGTTCCATTTCAAATAAAACAAGTTAAAGATTTGCAGATCATAGCTTTCTGTTTATTTACACTCTGCACAACGTCCCAACTTTTTTCTCCCGACGTATTTTTCAACATTCTCTGGGCTTCAACTTGATCTTTTTTCCATCCTGAACCCTCATACAGTGGTTTGCAAAAGTATTCATACCCCTTGAACTTTTCCATATTTTGTCACATTACAACCACAAACATAAATAT